CTTCTACCATCTATTATTAGCTTGCAATTGGTGTTGTTGATCTTGCACTCAGACTGAAAAATATTCCATCGCTGCCCCTTATCCTCAATACGGTTTTCCTTCACTCGTTGCACCATTAATGATGGGTATGCTTCTGCAGCTTCAAAACTCGCAGTAACTTTTTCATCATCTTCAGATTTCTCAGTAGATGTGTCAATATTTTTTTCTCCATCACTCGCGGACATGTATCCTTCTTCTGTGAGGAGTACTCTCCTCTCATTAGGGCACTCAAACTTCTTATGCTCCCTGCCACCACACTTAAAGCACACAACATCACTAGTACGGGAGTTAGAAGCACGAGACGATTCAACCTTGGATTGAGATACTTCCTTTGTAGATGGCTTAGAATCTGTTTTGAAACCACTATTACCACCACCTTCTCGCTGAAAATTACGCCGCACCGAGTTTGATGAATTAGCATGACCACCATGACGCTTTACTTGCTGCTCCGCTAGAATGGCATGGTGCAATAATCCCTGTAATCCCGTATATTCAACCATATCGACACGGTCTCGTATCTCTAATTTCAGACCATGAACGAACCGTGCCATTGTAGCCTCTTCTTGCTCCTCTACCCCTGTACGAATCAACAATATTTCCATCTCTTTATAATACTCCTCAACACTAGAGTTACCTTACCGAAGCTGCTGCAAGCGTGTGTACAAGGTCCTAGTGAAGTGCTCTAGAACAAAACGTCTCTTCATGATACTCTTCATCTGATTCCAAGACTCCGGACGTCCTCCCGCGCGACATAGTTGGTTCCACCATATTAAAGCATAGCCCGTGAACTCAATAGATGCAGCATGAATCTTTTTCTCCTCGGTGTAACGCTGTCCATCAAAAATCTGATCCACGCGCATCTCCCACTCCAAATACTCATCTGGATTGTCTTTGCCGCTAAACGACGGTATGAAAATTTTAATTCTTCCAATACCATCATCTTCGTAGGCATGCCGCGGACGCTCATGTCCTCCCCAATGGTGTACGCCACCTGCATGATGGTTATAAGCATGCCGCACAGGCTCATAATAGCTACCAGCCCCTCAGACTGATGGTCTTGATGCTCACCATTGTTGCGAATTGGTTCGCCTACCCGTTGTTCAGATAATTGCCGATGACGACGCGGTGCAGCAGACCCATCACTAGGTGGTGAACGTGGTCTCAATCGATGAACGGCCTTAGTCAAATCAGCAATCTTTTTTCCTAGACTTTCCTCAACCTTGTCGATGCGCCTCCCCACTAGATTCAGCACATAGTCACGAGTTGCCTCCAATCCTAGCACGATAGTCGGCGCAACACTCGGATCATAGGTGGGCAAGGGAAATTCGTCTTCCGCATCCCTTCATGTGCACCATGCACACTTGAATTTGATTTCTGTGAATTCACCATTGTAGCAACTCAAGTAGATCAACTGAAGAGCCAAAGAGAAGAAAATTGTACCGTGATCAACCTTGCTCTGAATACCACTTAATGTGACCCGACTAGACGCGAGTCGTTCATTGGCCCAATCTTTCACGGTACACGAAAAATACCACGACGATTCTCGTAATAGCAGCAAACAAAAGAAAAAGTAGACGAACGGCTCTTTGGATCAAGCAGGACGCCAGAAGACCAAAGTGCTCAAAAACCAGCATATAATCAATCACAGATCAATTTCACGCCAAGCAACTCTCAGATCCCTCATGGATCAGCAAGCAAATATCTTTGGCGCAACCATAATGTTGCCTTTGTTCAACTCTCAAGAAAAAAACTCCAGTACAAAGGCCTAAGCTTGCCCATTATATAGGCGACGCGCACGCTAACCCCAAACGATCCTAACAAACCAAGCTAGAAGTAGACTCTATCTCTTTCATATTTAAACTAACCAGAATTTAACTAATTAAGTATCCGGCGACCGCTGATCACAAAAGTCCAAAATGGACTAGTACTCCTGGCCCTTCATGCTATGTAACTTGTAATACTAGGAAATAACACGATTAGACACTTGACCATAATTCGTAAACAACAAGAACGTTATGCTAAGTAATGTAGAGGTGTTCTGAAAGTCGGCTTAATATCCTCCGGCTTATGATCTGACAACGGAATTGGCATCCGTATTTTTCCAATAAAGAAAAACTCTTCTGCCTTGGTCTTCTTAGTTGGTGCCGTCAGCAACTCCTTCTGGACATGTGTAGGTTGGATTATTATTTCATGTGAAATATTATTTTCTGTTGCACCCATGGCCACATCATGGATCTTATGATGTTTCTCCCCCTCTACTATCTTGTGATGAATTGACTTTTCCTCTTGAAGTTATCTTACCGGATTGAGTCTTTAAGGATTTGAGAACACTTGATGTATGTCTTGTCGTGCTTATCTTTGGTGACAATGGGATATCACGTGATTCGACTTGATGTATGTTTTGGTGATCAATTTGCAGGTTCCGTCATGAACTTATGCATAGGGGTTGGCACATGTTTTTGTCTCGACTCTCCGATAAAACTTTGGGGCACTCTTTAAAGTACTTTGTGTTGGTTGAATAGATGAATCTGAGATTGTGTGATGCATATCGTATAATCATGCCCACGGATACTTGAGGTGACAATGAAGTATCTAGGTGACATTAGGGTTTTGGTTGATTTGTGCCTTAAGGTGTTATTCCAGTATGAACTCTATGATAGATTAAACGGAAAGAATAGCTTCATGTTATTTTACTACGGACTCTTGAATAGATAGAACAGAAAGGTTAACTTTGAGGTGGTTTCATACCCTATCATAATCTCTTCGTTTGTTCTACGCTATTAGTGGCTTTGGAGTGACTCTTTGTTGCATGTTGAGGGATAGTTATATGATTCAATTATGTTATTATTGTTGAGAGAACTTGCACTAGTGAAAGTATGAACCCTATGCCTTGTTTCCTACCATTGCAATACCGTTTACGCTCACTTTTATCATTAGTTACCTTGCTGTTTTTATATTTTCAGATTATAAAAACCTATATCTACCATCTATATTGCACTTGTATCACCATCTCTTCACCGAACTAGTGCACCTATACAATTTGTCATTGTATTGGGTGTGTTGGGGACACAAGAGACTCTTTGTTATTTGGTTGCAGGGTTGCTTGAGAGAGACCATCTTCATCCTACACCTACCACGGATTGATAAACCTTAGGTCGTCCACTTGAGGGAAATTTGCTACTGTCCTACAAACCTCTGCACTTGGAGGCCCAACAACGTCTACAAGAAAAAGGTTATGTAGTAGACATCAGCTGCCTCCTGATTATGCCACCCAGGACGTGTGGACGGATCTCTAATATGCCACATGTGGGCGTTATAGGCGTCCTTTATTATAGATCTGTATGTATATATATTTTTTAGAGAAAATACAAGTCATGTAATACGTGTCTCATTCATATCATAAAGATTAAAGTATAAGTCACGTAAGGACCGACTTGACAAAACTGAAAAGATAACAGAACATCTCTGAGTTTGACACCAACGCCCGTCACCTGCCTCCGGCACCACGACAACGACCATCAAAGAAAAGAATGACGGATCACCTCCTCACCCGAGCTCGACGCGGCTCCATCGCTGATATGCAGCTTTGCGGACCTCAAAGGTGGCTCACCAAAAATGAAACCCTTACCGTTGAACGAATCAGACCGGGGCAACACACCGGACACGCCACCGAACTCCAGATCTAGCACCCAACCGCGGCTAAGACACCGCAAGAGGAAACCATACCTGCCATCCACGAACCACGACCCCAGCACACGTTTCGTCTTTCAGATGTCGTCGATGCAGACTACAATCTGCATCCGCTCCTGGATTACCTCCCATGCTCCGTGCCGACGCTGGAGCAAACGTCGTCGCAACGACGGAGCCCGAGGACAAATATCCACCACGAGGATGCCGCCGCCGCCACGCCATCCTTACTTGAACAGACTGATTTTCAAATCCATTCCCAATCATAGGACCGATGGCCCTGTCAGGGAAGGATCTGAAGAATCTTTATTCAACACCGTCATCGTCGCCGCCAAAGTAAAGACAATGAACAACCTAAAAACTTAAACTACGACAGAGCAAAAACGATCCACACGCGTGAATTCGGTGACCCCCTCACCACCGACGACCGAGGTCGCCGGTGGAAGGAAGCCGCCGGAGGACAGCACTGAAAGATTTGCCTCTCTTGGGGCGGCTAGGGTTCCTGCCGCCAGGGACAAGGGAGAGGTGTATATCGATCTAATCTAATCGGTGAATTGTGAGTACTACTACGCGTCGGTTTCCAACGCATACATCCGGGACGGACCCCATAGATGTACATCATACATATCCTAGTCAGCAAGCAGCGGAGCTTGTGTAGTTGTGTTCCGTGGGAGGGCCAGCGGTGGACGATCCAGGCAGCAAAACAGCCGCACGATCGCGGGCGGCGAAAGCAGCGCCACACAGCCGCGGCGTCCACCGCACAAACCTTCCTCTTCCTTCCCCCGCTGCTCTGCCCCCATCCCGCCCCCTCTATTTAAGGCCGCCCCCTCCCTCGCCTCCGCTGCCACGCCGACGCAGCCCAGCCACAAAACCACCTCGCCGTCCGCGCCGTCCGCCGTCGTCCCCGAAGGGACGCGGGAAGCCGGGCCGGAAAGTCTCACTTCCTTCCCTTGGAGCCCTCCGTAGCCTTCCGGGACGCTCGGCTCCTCCCCCTCCCGCCCTCCGGTTTGTCTCTCCGGGCATCACGGCTGCTTCCGCGGACCCCGCGCGCGGCGTCCCCGCTGCGCAGGTGGAGCCGCACGGAGGACGCGGAGCACTCCCCTCGGCCGGGGGCAGCCCCTCCGACCTCCTCTTCCTCGCCGGCGGCGGTCGTCTCCTTCTCTGATTGCGCGGCGGCGCTGGCTGCTAAGTGCTAACCCACGCTAAGTCGTCGTTAACAACGTCCGGTAGACGGTAGAGACAGCAGAGGAGATTGTAAGAGCAGTCCGGAGGAGATGGAGATGAAGCTGACGATTAAGAGGGTTCCGACGGTGCTGTCCAACTACCAGGAGGAAGGAGGCGGGGGCTGCGGCAGGAACTGCCTCGGGGATTGCTGCTTGCCTGGTGCGTATTATGCCCTCTCATGCCCAATTTTCATCTAGTTTTGGTCTGTCTAGGACACATCTAGATGTGACATAGCTGATGTCCACTATGTTTGTGGTCTAATTTTTTTTGTTCTATTTTTTTTGTTTCTTGTTGATGCATTATATATTTGTGGGAACCTAGATGTGACATTCTTAAAAAACATCAGACGTGAGTTAGACAAACTGTTTCATATTGGGAGGTGCAGCTCAGCTCATTTTATCCTCGAATTCGTCTATTTTTTAGGTTTATTTTGTTTCCTCTGGGGCAAAAGTTTTCTATTTCCTTCGATTAATTATACCCTAGAATACTACTGAGTTTAGTTTAGTCGTATGGGCTTCTTCTGCTATATCTAGCTATGTTTAGTTTAGTCGTATGAATTTCTCGCTGTCCCATTAATCTAATCAAAGTTTGTTTTTAATTAGACAACTGAAACAAAGTTCTGAAACTTTTATTCTGTTGCCAAAAATTTGCAGATTTAAACATCCTTTACTAATTAACCATTCTTTTTCTATAAACACTTGTAGTTTCCAAGCTTCCCCTCTATGCTTTCAAGGCCGACCCAAAGAAGCCTGCGCAGGATGATGAGCTCCCTACCGAGTTCTTCCTAAATTCTCTCCTCCTCGCACAGGTAAGAAAATACTAGCAATCAAGTGAACCTGGCTCCTAGCTCATTTTGTTAGGAGAGTGGATGCACAACACACCACCTAGGTTCAAGTACTTACAGACATGAATTTAAGTTCCTGTCTATACTGTAGGGCTCTCCCCCCTGCAGTTTTCTTTAAAAAAATGAAAATACTAGAAAAGTTTGCATACTTAATTCTTTAGAAAGGAAGGTCATGCTGTTGTAAGAATTCGTACACTTAGCAGTTCTGCTGGTAAAACCAGTACTGGATAGTGTTTTGGTGCATTTTGTTTCCTGAGAAGATCACAGGAGTTTGTTATCGCTTACTGGCTTACAGCTATTACGCTTGGACCAAAATACGATAAATATACTGTTCTGTATTCTTCTACAAGATTTTGTAAACATGCTAAGATATCCTTGGGTAGTTAAAATGCTTAATATGGCAGAGGAGGTTAAATAGCTTAATTTGGTGCATTTCAATGTGCTACATAGACAGAATAAAAGCATGTAGTGTTTGCTTTTTATTACAAATGGATATAGATTTCAGAACTTTATGGGATGTTTCCTTTGAGGAATAAGAATGAGACCTCATCCCTTGTAACTCTTAAGCATAAGGTATCAGCCACCAAAAACGTGCCGACAGTGATACTAATCCTAGGGTGAGGTGATTCCTCAAACTCAATCTGTATGTCAACTTGTGGTTGCGGGAAAATAGATGAGAAAAATCATAATTTAGTGGCACATGCTTGGCTTTTTCAATGATATTGCGTTGGCTTTACCTTTGATAGAGCTGTAATCCAGTATGGATGTTTCTAATTGTTTCTTATTCCCAATAGGAGTTGATTATTGCAAAAATAAGCTTTGTAGGGCTGAGTTTGGAATGTAATACTTTTGTTTACTCTGTTCCTCGAAAGATAACATTGACATGGACACAGTTCTAGAAAATTTGTCTTAAAATGGACCATCAAAACATCTCATAATGATTATCTTGTTATTTTAGGTTGGCCGTTAATTCTTTATTTTATTTTATTGAACTCTTATATTTCGACTTTGCTCTCTCTTATTAGTGGGAGGACAGAGTGGCCCGAGGCCTATTCAGATATGACGTAACAGCCTGCGAGACCAAGGTGATTCCTGGCGAGCTTGGGTTTGTTGCACAGCTTAATGAAGGCCGCCACCTCAAGAAGCGCCCGACTGAGTTCCGTGTTGACCGTGTGCTCCAGCCATTCGATTCTGCCAAGTTCAACTTCACCAAGGTTGGCCAGGAGGAGGTTCTTTTTCGCTTTGGGAACGGTGGTGGCGGCAGCAGCTATTTCCTTGAAAATGCCCCAAGCACTGAGGGTGACCATGCTCCCAGCGTTGTTGCAATCAATGTACACATCTTTCAGCCAAAATTTACCTTAATTCCAGAATATAAATCTTGATGTTAAGACTGGTACTTCTAACGGATTGCAGGTGAGCCCTATTGAGTACGGTCATGTGCTTCTCATTCCGCGTGTCCTTGACCGCCTGCCTCAGCAAATTGATCCTGAAAGCTTCCTGCTTGCACTACACATGGCAGCTGAGGCTGCAAGCCCATACTTTAGGCTTGGTTACAACAGCTTGGGTGCCTTTGCCACCATCAATCATCTCCACTTCCAGGTACTTTAAATCGTTAGCTTCTGTGGTGTAAACATAGTTGATAATTGTGGTGATCACACTAAAACTTTGTTTTTTGTACAGGCATACTACCTGTCAGTACCTTTTCCTGTTGAGAAGGCGCCTACCAAGAAGATCCCCCTTGCCAAGTGTGCGCTGAATAGTGGAGTGAAGGTGTCAAAACTGACAAATTTCCCCGTGAGAGGTCTGGTGTTTGAGAGAGGGAACACTCTGAAGGATTTGGCTGATGTGGTTACCAACGCTTGCATTTGGCTCCAGGAGAACAATGTTCCTTTCAACGTCCTCATCTCTGATTCTGGTAGAAGGATCTTCGTTTTTCCTCAGGTAATTTCCGCAGTAGAGTCAAAAGCTTCTTTCTGCAAATATGATATCATTACTAATCCATCAAGAAATATATTCTCAAGGTAGATTTTCTGCAAACATGAAATAATTTCTGTAGCTTAAAGTTTTGTGAAACACCATTTATTTAGTCTTCATTGTTAAATTAGATCACTGCCACATGAATTGCATAATGATGTTGGCTGCTGCCCCCATTGTACCTTCCTGATGTTTTCTAATCTTTCCTGTTGCAAATGCGCAGTGCTATGCCGAGAAGCAGGCTCTCGGTGAAGTGAGCCAGGATCTGCTAGACACGCAGGTGAACCCCGCAGTATGGGAGATCAGTGGCCACATTGTTCTGAAACAGAGGACGGACTTCGAGGAGGCTTCAGAAGCATCGGCCTGGAGGCTTCTCGCTGAGGTGTCTCTGTCGGAGGAGCGATTTGAGGAGGTGAAGGCATGTATCTTCGAGGCCACCGGCCTCACTGAATCTGACGAGGAAGAGGAATCCAGTGAGTCTCCTTATGCGTCGTCATCCTCCGTCCCACAAGCCTCTTCACACATGTCGGAAGGTTGCCTTGTCCTTCAGTGAGAGAGCAAAGGAAATCGTTCAAATCGACTCAGGTCGCAAGGTTCGCATTATCTGTGGCTGCTTGGTGTTAGCAGGGATCCCAGTGATTGTACCGTGTCCTCTCTTGCTTGCTACTTCTGCCTCTAATCTTTAGCTACCGTTGTTGGCTACTAGTTGCTGGTGTTCATACTGTGCAGTTTATTATTAAGCACAGGTATGCGTGTTGGCTTGTTTATAACTGAAATGCATTGGTGTGTTCATCGCCCGACCGTGTTTCTCATTCTAAACTGTTACCTTTGCTTTTTCATTTGTATTTTTCTTTTGTCAAGCTTATCATTTGCACATGGCCACTGCAAATTGATCTATGATGAGATGCAGACATAACTGATAGCGGATTGAAGCAGTCATGAAAGACTGATAATCTATTTTTAAAGACCCATGAGGCAACTACAGACAGATAAATGATACTAGCTGTAAGAACACATTGTTCAGACAGGAGGAGGTGCAAAAATTTCAGCTTATTTTGATGTTATCACATGAGAAAAGTTATCACATCGTGAAACGCCAAACACCATGTTATTGGTCAAATTTCTGGCAGAAGCTTCAGCATCACCTAAGCTCCAAATCATTCTTTTCTTTCACCGGTTGGCAAATGCAAATTTCACCAAATCTAACTCACAGATTGTTTTCTATTTTTTAATACTGGCTACATAAACAGAGTGATTCATGTTATCACTAACTGAATTTCACAAATGAAAACTTATACCAGAGCATCTGTGGAAGAGCTCGGACATGTCGCGGTCCTAGGCACAGGCGAAGTCGATGCACAAAGTCTCAATCCCAGGCACAGTCGCACAGAGGAAGTCGATGCACAAATGGCCTGTTAGTTGCCTGCATTTACGCATCCAAATCCTGGCCCTCAGCCAGTCCCTATGGATGCAGTTTGGATGTTGGACGATGCATAAATGGCCTGTTAGTTGCCTGCATTTACGCATCCAAATCCTGGCCCTCAGCCAGTCCCTATGGATGCAGTTTGGATGTTGGACCTGCATCCAAATCCTGGCTCTCATGGAACTTAAAGCATCGTTGGGACTGACTCTGGAGGAGCGCTCGAACAACTGACTCTGGAGGAGCGCTCGAATCTTTTGTTTTCAGCGAGCCAAGCCCGAGCGATGCAAGGTACCACATGTTGCTGCAGACGGTTGCACGTGTGGGTACACGCAGGAGCCGTCACGTTATTTTTTAAAGTGACGCCATAAATCTCCTCACCCCTTTCTCACCTCTCACTCTTCCCTCCCTCCATGCTCTCACCGGCTGTGGCGAGCGTCATTAGAGGCAAGATTTGGACGGCGAGCACCAAGGATGACCATCGACTGCATCACCGCTTCATCTCCCCTTCACCACCCTATGGTTGATGTGGGTGACAGGGCGGAGATCCCCACCCCCTGTGAGGGTTTCTTCCGTCGCTTCGGCCCAGTTCGATGGTACCCTGTCTGGTGACATATCTCCAACATATCTATAATTTATCAAGTATTCATTCTATATTTACATCAATTATATATGATTTTGATGCACTTTATATTATTTTTATGGACTAACATATTAATCTAGTGGTCAGTGTCAGTTCCTGTTTTCTTTGCATGTCTTTAGCTTCGCGGAAAATCCATATCTAAGAAAGTCCAAACACGATGAAAATTCACGAGGATTTTTTGTTGAAAAAAGAAACGTCAGAAGCTTTGGGAGGCAGCCACAAGAAGCCTGAGGGCTCCACAAGGGCAGGGGCGCCCCCTAGGCCACGCCACCCAAGCTTGTGGGGCCCTCGAGGCTGCGTTTGACATAATTCCAATCATAAATTACGTAATATTCCAAACCCACGGAGCGAGGCTCGAAATAATTTTATCGCTGCCGCAAGCCTCTGTTCCGAAGCGTTCTCATTTGGAGCCCTTTTCCGGCAGTCTACCTGACCCATCCACGGAGGTTTCTTCATCAACCTTACTGCCACCATGATGATGTGGGAGTAGTTTATCCTCAGGGCTGATGGTATTTACTAGTAGCTATGTGTTTGATCTCCCCCTCTCTCTCTTTCTCTCTCTCTCATGTTCTTGATGAATTCTTTTTTTTTGAAAAAAAACCCCATATTAATTAATTAATTAATAATGTTATTACAATCATTCATTACAAAATTCCCCACGCAGGGTGGAACACTACTAAGAAGAATCCCATCAGATTTATTTATAAAGCTAAACTTCGCAATTTCATGCGCCACCTTATTGGCCTGCTGATTAATTTTCGCAATTTTAAAATTCTTGAGCATCGTTAATATACTTAAGGCTTCTTTCTTCAGATCAACGAGCAGAGACGTGTCAAGATTCTCATTTGCAAGGAAAGAACAAACAAAAGCACAATCGGTCTCCAAAATAATGGATTGGTGAAGAGTAATACCTATATAAAGGCCTGCCAGACAAGCACGTAGCTCAGCTTCGTTCACGCTGCAACACTAACCCAGAAAGTCCCACGAAGAAATAATAACTTCACCAGATGAGTTCCTAACAACCACCCCCACACTGGCCGCACTAATACTCTCCACATAGCTGGCATCAACATTGATCTTGATATAATCATCTGGTGGAGGCTTCCATCCCACCTTTTCTTGTGATGTTGCGAAACTTGGTGTAGCACCTCCCACTTTCCCTTTACCTTTGTTACTAGTAACAACCTCAACAGAGTTGTGACCTGACGTAAAAGAAGACCAATAGTTTACCACAAAAATTGTAGATGCAGCAATGGATTCCTTCCCTTTCCCAAAAATTAAATCATTTCTCAGGTGCCATGCTCGTCAGAACAGAAACAAAACTTGCCCTCTCTGTTGCAAGCTCAAAAGATCCAACAAAATCAATAGCCAATCTGGTCCCGAGAATTTGAACCACTCTTCATCAGGAATATTCCATGATTCTCTTAAGGCCAGTCGCAGTGCATGCGCCTTAGGACAAATAACTAGCGCATGAAACGTGCTTTCCTCTTCTCCACAAATAGAGCACATACCTGAAGTAATCTGATGGTGCTTAACTCTATTGGTCTGGACCGCCAAGCTATCGGTCGCGGCCCTCCAAGCAAAAATTCTTATCTTCTGAGGGATATTAGCCTTCCAAATTAAATTCCAGAGTCTTCTTTCTTCGCATGGATCACCACTAGATTTACCCAATTTATCTTGACTATCCTTCAACTTAAGTGCTAAATTGTATGCACTTTTAACGGAAAATATACCGTTATTCTCATAGTGCCACGCAATAAAATCCCCATCCCCATAAGCATGAATACGAATCTTAAGAACCTCCTCTGCATCATGGGGATAGAAAAGATACTTGATCAAATTTTCATCCCATGCCTTTCTCCCACTCAAGAACAAATCAGAGACCCACTTCAATCTAGTATTGTGCCTTTTAGCTGAAATTTTAAGTCCAGTGTTCCTGGGTAACCAATTATCCCTCCAAATATTAATGCTAGATCCATCTCCCACCCGCCAAACGACACCATTCTTAAGCAATTCCAGACCATGCATAATACCCTGCCAAGTCACTGACGCAGACTGAGGAAACACTGTATCAAGAATATGTCCATGAGGGTAATACTTTGCCTTCATCAGCTTAGCACACAACGAATCCGGATGAACCAATAACCTCCACGCTTGTTTGTCCAAGAGGGCTTGGTTAAATAATCTGAGATCCCGGAATCCCATACCTCCCTTACCTTTAGACCTAGTCAATTTGTCCCAAGCTAACCAATGTGTTTTTCTTCGATCTTCCTCATCTCCCCACCAAAAATTCCTGATAATCTGTGTTAACTCCTCACAAAGGGAAGCCGGGAACTTAAAAATACCCATAGCATACACAGGTAGAGCTTGAATAACTAATTTTATTAAGTCTTCTTTCACCCCACATGAAGCGTATTTATCTATCCAGTCAGAGAGCCTTTTCAAAACCTTATCTTTAGTAGATTGAAACTTACCAGCTTTCATTCTTCCCTCAGGAACCGGAAGTCCAAGATATTTATCTTCGAACCCATCGAGTAATTTTTAAGATTACCATAATAGCCACTTGATTCTCCAAACTGCACTTTTTTCCAAACATCATGTAACATTTATCAGGACTTAATAACTGCCCAGTCCCTTTCTCGTACTTCGTCAAAATATTTTTAATGACAATTGCTTGATCAATGGAGCCTTTGAAAAATAACATACTGTCGTCCGCAAACAACAAGTGGGAAATACCTGGAGCATGTCTATTCAAATGAAACTCCTGAAGAGATCGTCTGGCTGAAGCATCATTAAGCAGCAAAGAAAGTGCCTCAGCAACAAAAAGGAACAAGTACGCAGATAAAGGGTCCCCCTGCCTAAGTCCCCTAGAAGGTGAAAAAGACTCCAGCAACTGTCCATTGAAGCGGACGGCAAATTTCACCGATGTAACACACGACATAATCCAATTTATCCACCTCGGTGCAAAATCCAAAGCCCCCATCATACATTGCAAGAAATGCCAGTCTACACGATCATAAGCTTTCGCCAAATCCAACTTATACGCACAAAATTCCCCTCTTAAATCTTTAAGCATACTCAACGAATGCATACATTCAAAGGCTATGAGAGCATTGTCAGAAATTAATCTTCCCGGAATAAACGCACTTTGAGTAGGGGAAATCATACCATTAAGGAGCGGCCTCAGTCTGTTAACAAGGCATTTGGAAATAATCTTGTAGATAACATTGCACAAACTGATTGGCCCGAAATCCTTAATAGACTGCGGGTTCTTAATTTTCGGGATGAGAACAATAGTTGTGTTATTAATCCCCTCAGGCATAACTCCAGAAATAAAAAACTGTTGGACAGCCTTAATAATATCCTCCTTGATCAAACCCCAATTCCGCTGGAAAAACCTTGCAGGAAAACCATCCGGTCCCGGAGCCTTTAACGTCCCCATTTGGAAAAGCGCATCACTAATCTCTTGATCCGTAAAAGGTTTGCAAAG